ATGTTAGCCCCAAATAATAGATGACCATAAAAAATAATTAGGTTTAAACACATAATCTGAAGAAAGAGTAAAATATTTTTCAAGAAATACATACATCTGAAAGGAATTTAGCTAAAATTCAGATTTACTTTAAAAACATACTTCATATTTTAAAATATAGCATAGCTTGTCTTTCTACTTATAAGGAATTATATAATGTTATTATTGGCAGCTCCCTTCATATTTTATCACACTGATTGCATTTCAAAAATGATGTAATAGTCTATGTTGCAAATGATTTTCCAAATTTGTTATAAAAAATTTTAAATATTTATAAAATATAAAGTGTACAGCAACATCCACAGACTTACACCCAGATTCAATGATTAATAGTTTTCTATATTAGTTTTATCACATATCTACACATCCTGCCAATCCACCTGTTTTTTAAAAAGATGGTTTTAATTGTGAGATGAAGCTATCAATATACTTCACCTCTAAACACTTCAGCATGATAGAAATACTTTTAATTTCTCTTATAAGTTAAAAACATGTTGCTAAGAGATAATAATAACTAATAAAATATTTTTATTACTACATACTAAATCACTAGAAGTTTAGTTAATTTGTCCATTAGAGCTCAGTAATCATGAGGTGATGATGTTAATGTTAATCTCCCTGATGGGTCAACTAGTTATTTCTTTTCCATGGAAACATATTAAATCTATAGTAACATTTAGTCATACTGAAGCCTAATATATTTTCAACAAGACAGCAATAGGTAAGAATACCTGAATCTTTAGTTATAGACAAATCAGTAAGCAGCCCCTACTGATGGTGTTAAAGACATTTTGTAAATGATTGATTTATATATTTAGTGACTGTGAAACATTATTTGAAACAGCATAATATAATTGTAGCTTTTTTACCATCTAGGTGTACCATATTTACAGATATTAATGCTTTATTTTTTTAAACTTTTTATTTTATATTAGAGTATAGCTGATTAACAATGTTGTGATAGTTTCAGGTGGACAGAAAAGGAACTCAGCCATACATATACATGTATCCATTCTCCCTCAAATTCCCCTCCCACCCAGGCTGCCACATAACATTTAGCAGAATTTCCTGTGTGATACAGTGGGACCTTGTTGGTTATCCATTTTAGATATTTTGATAGTTTATTGCTTTATTTTATTTTGATATTTATTTATAATGCAGGTTAGCTCTTTAATATTAATAGAATGCAAATTATTAAAGAGTCTGACATTAACAAAGTGGTTTTTGCATCTATCAGAGAACAAGTAAGCAGTCTTTGATTTCTCATTTAAAAACTGAGAAATCTGTTTTAATCTCATTTAAAAACTGAGCATCTTAATAAACAATTTAATGCTGAGCTGTTGAAAACATGAGTGAACAATACGACTCATCACATATTTTACCTGATATGCTTTTAAGTTCAAATTTATTTGAATTTATTCAATCACATTGGCTTTTCTTCTAAAGATTAGTAGTTTTGAATCATCAACTTCTCACATATAAAGTTTATATATATTAGCTTAGGAATGCTACATGTAGACAAAATGAGGTGTTACTATGTTTATATCTCATGCTATTCCATAAGATAAAAAGTCTTACTACAGCAAAGCAGTCTCCAACTTTTATGTATTTCATAGAACGTTAGAGCTTGATTCCACCACCTAAAAGAACAAGTGGATTTTCAAATGTAACAAAGTTCCAAAATTTTCTCTTAAGAAAATCAAGTCTCTCTTTAGTTCTTATGGTCTTGCTGGCATTCTAAATCAATACCAAAAAATTTTAAGATGTTTACTAACTTATCAGCAAACTCCATCTCTTCATGTGTTTGTTTAAATTTCCCTCCAAATATAACACTAATATACCACCCATATTCAATCAGTATAAATGATACATTCAAAAAGACAGGCATCAGAGGTTAAAAAATTGACATTTCTTTACTAAAGGGCCAACATGTCTACCCTGCAAATCATTAGCATAATAGGTACTATAAAGAAAATAGTTATGCCATGTGGCTATATTATAGACTATAAAATATAAACCCTTCATGGAAATTCCCACAAAAAATCCATAACAAAAAAGTAATGTTTCTAACACATTTTGTTTGAAAATAATGATGCTATTAACACTTGGCACTATGGTTCCCAAATGGAAGTGAGTCTGCATAATAGTTTACTTTCTTCTTTATAAAGATAAACACAGTAAGTCACTGTGCTGAGAGGTTGGCATGTTTCAGGAATAAATGCCACTTTGAGATATAGAAAGCCTCATTATCCCTGACACAAACCTACTTTGTAAGTCAGATATTTTTAAAGATCTGGGTTTTGATTTTTTTCTCCGTTTTATGAAGCTTTTGGTGGTTCAGACCAACTAATCTGTATTTATTTGGTAATAATAAATAATCTGCCTGCAGAAAAAAATAGTAAATAATCTACCTGCATTGTAGGAGACCTAGGTTCAATCCCTGGATCGGGAAGATACCCTGTAGCAGGGAATGGCAACCCACTACAGTATTCTTGCCTGGAAGATCCCATGGACAGAGGAGACTGGCAGGCTACAGTCTATGGGGTCGCAAAGAGCCAGATGAGACTAAGCTACTAACACAACAAATTTTATGAAATAAAGATTCATCCTTATTTGCTTAGATGGCTAAAATAAGTCAATACTAAAAATGTGGCAGTAAATAAATTATATCACCATTAAACGAGGTAACAATTTTGAAGTTAATGTTGAAATACTGGTGTGTGTATGTGTGTGTGTGCTCTGACACTTCAATCGTGTCTGACTCTTTGCAACCCTAAGGACTGTAGCCACCAGGCTACAGAAGTTTTTCTATCCTACTACAAGCAGAAGCTCGGAATTCCCAGGTCTCTCATGAACTCCTTAATTACACCTTTTCAACCATTCCCACTAACCACGCCTATTGTGTCCATTGCTTGGTTAACCACATCACTCATTCATCACAGCCGCTGATCTTTGCCTCCATGACCCTGATCTCTTCATCCATTAGCCTCCTCCAGGTACCCCTTTTCCTAGTGACACCAGACCCTAAATTAACTGATAGTGACAATGACACCTCTTTCACCTGAAGATTTTGTAACCACTTATAAGCATATGAAGCAATTCAGGGGATTGTAACACTTAACAGTTTCCATGACACCATCTCCAAGTACTCCGTTTCAGCAAGTCACAGAGGGATATTCAGGAGTCTGGATTAACCATAAAAACACTCCAGGTGGAAAGACTCTGACCAGCCACTGACTGTAAAATTGTTTCCCAAAAGCATAATACCAGATTCAAATTTTCCTCCAAGCTCTAATCCTTATCTGCCTTTACTACCTAATTCTTAGATTATTAAAATATTTCCCTAGCATCTTTTCTTNTCCCAAAAGCATAATACCAGATTCAAATTTTCCTCCAAGCTCTAATCCTTATCTGCCTTTACTACCTAATTCTTAGATTATTAAAATATTTCCCTAGCATCTTTTCTTAGCCTTCCTCACATCAATTCTTCCTTTATACACAAACACATTCATACTGTAGAAGGTTTTGATGGAATTCATTTGGCCGGAAGCCTTCTGGTGTTTCACATACAATTTTTTGAGGCTCTTCTCAATCCAACCCTAAACCTTACTTAGGATTTCTGTCTCACTATTCCTACACTTTGTGAATAAAATGCTGCTTTATGCTCAGTCATCATGTTTGGGAACCTCACTCTTGTTATATATGAGGACACAAGTGACAATGTAAGTGATTTGATGTGGCTGCAAAATTCAACACTCTGAGAACAGGGTCTAGAATCACAGGTACAGCAATCTCCCCCTCATACATCCTACAGATGCCAGGACTTCAGACCATTGTGTGAGGGAAGGAAGGAAGTAGGAAAGACAGGGGAAAATGCAGTGAAGAAAGAAAGGACTAACAAGTACTGAAGAAACACAAACCATGATTTACACTGTAACTATTTCAGAGTCATGAGACCTATCATATCTTTCTCCAAAACATACAATTTATGGGTTAAAAACTGAACTAAATGTCATTTTCTTAAGTTCCACACAGTAGTCTTAAACAGAATCTATAGCTTCATTCTCTGAGAAACTGATAAAACTAAATTTTCAAACCCAGTAAAATAATGCCAGGCTACTATTTGATTCATCTAAAAATGACAAGGTAGGATATTAGATAAGCATAAGGAAATAAGAGTATCTTTTCCAATAGAAGAGTGAAGGAAGTCAATTTGACTAAGAGATGGATGGTTTGTTGTCAGCACCAACTGGAAAATGGTGGGACTGGGAAGATGTTGAGTTAACCAAGAAATGGAGAGAAAAAGGGAAACAAAGCAAATTAATTAGATCATGGGGCAGGCAGGGTGAGTAAAATAAATAGTAAAGAATGATATGTACAGACATTGTGAGAGCTAGAAGCAAGAAAATGAGAGTGAGGAGAGAAATTGGGATTTTCACTCTGCAAAAAGGATAAGCCAGAATTGAGCTACAGGAGAGTAAGGGAGATGAAGCTGTGCTTGACTCTGCCTGTAGAGACAGGCATCATATCTCTAATGAGCACCTAAGGGAACAAGAAAACATCATCCTGGAGATGATGGGACCCTCCTAGACAAGACTGATGGGAGGACCACAACTGGTGCTCAGATCCAGGCACCTCATTATCCAAAAGGTGCAGAGAAGCTGGAAGGAGTTCAGAGACAGGATGGAAGAGTGACTAAGATGCAGAAGAAAAAAAAAATGATTTATGATAAAAGATTAAAGCACTAAACAAGCACTTCTTGGCAGAGAAACAAGTGGATGGGCAAAGCAGCTATCTACAAACAGGTAAAGGACATAAATAATCTAGAGGAAAACCATCATTATTTAAGCTGGTACCAAGGGGAGAGGTTCACAGAGAACAACTTCTCAGGAAGGCAGAAAAGAAGAGAACCCTAAAATTAGAAAAGGAAGTATTAACATACAAATGACAGATCTGTTCACCTGATGTGGAGCGAGGCACGTCCTAGGAAACTGCTGGTATCAGTCTGTATGCATAAGATACAAGCAACTTGACCACTCAGTTGGTTACCACGATTCTAGAAGACAAAGCAATCAACAGAATAAAAAAAAATTGTTTAAAAAATGAGAATCCTGTTAACAGCTCAACCTCATTTTCAAAAGAACTGAAAAACTTATCCTCCATATTTTGTTCATACAAAGGTCTTCATTAATGACTTGAAATAGTATATAATAATTCAGTAGTTTTCATAAGGGAATAAAATGGGATAATAGATCTTTTTAATATGGCTTCCAGTGAGTCTATGTGTTGGTTTGCAATATGGTATTTTTAAAGATTAAGTTGTAAATGAATCACTTGTATAATTAGACATGTGGGTAGATATAAAAACTTGAAATCACCAATCCTCTGGGAGTAAGATGACTCCTCACAGAAGGAAGCAAAGGATTTCCAGGTGGAACTTCACCCATAATAACACATGCCAATGCATGTCCTTGACACCCACCTATGTTATCCCTACGAACTGCACTGGAGCAGCCATCCTATCACATGAAGAAATTGTGAACTACACAATACACATGGGATTATTTTTGGATTATGATATTCAGATCAGCAAAGCATGTTACCTGCCACCCTCACACACTCAAATATTCATAAGGCTATGTAGAAATTTTATTTTATTAAATAAAATCTTAAATGAAGATGTCAATATTTTAAGAAAACTTCTGATGCTAGAGAGAAAACTGTATAAATAAATGAAATCCTTATACAGTTCTAGTTATATTCGCCTTTCATTTTTATTAAATTGGTATGTGCTTGACAAACTTTCATCTCTGTGCTTTGAAAGTCAATATAATAATAATTTGTACCTGTTTTATGGCAATTTCCAAATTATAAAATATGTGTGTGCTTTTGTTCTCACTTGAATCTCCCCTTTGAAGTTAGGTATTATTAATCCTTCACTTGACAAATAAAGCTTGGAGTAAGAGGAAATATTGTAGAAGCTAAAATCAGATTGACAAGAACCACCAATGGCAAAGACTCGAATCCTCTGACTGCATGCCCTGTGATCTTTTCACTGCCCTGGATTTTTTATATGATTCGTGTCCTCAATCACGGCACCAATAAGCACTTAGAGTTCACTTAATAGTGATTACTGTGTAAAGCCAGGTCCTTATCATGAGCTTCTTGCAAATTACTAAAGCATGATTCTCAAGAGAGGAATGAAGGAAGCAGATAAAGTAGATCAGGCTTAAAAAAAAAAAAAGGAATAAAAAATCTTAGTTGCTGAAGTTTCCAGAATGTGTAGCCATTGGTTTTCACAGAATGACATGGCATGGTTGATTAAAATACAACTCTTGCCACAACAAAAAAGACAGTGGAAGGTTTGGGTAGATTGAAGCATTCAGAACAAGAGGATATTCTGAAGTGAACTGGGGTGGAGAGAAAACAATATGGCAGATGTATACTAGGTGAGTGAGGTGAAACTCAAAGAAGAAAAATGTAGAAAAAGAGAGGAAACTCTGTGGAGTTTCCAGGGACAGAAAAGCAGGCATATGTACAAAAAGAAATTTGGCAGCTTCATTCCAAATGCACCAAGAAGCAATCTGCAGAACAGAAGGTTCCAGTAGCTTAGAGGAAATACACTCAGCAGAGGCAAACATCATCTTGGAACTGAATGAAAGGAAAATAACATTCAAAAGCTCAGACTCCTTGAAAGACAGAAGTAAAAGAATGGAGTTAGCAACTGAATGTCACAGGGCAAAGAGGCCAAGGACATCCCCAGCAGTGAGTCTGTGAGCTGGCAGAACAGAGGTGCAGAAGCACACAGGGGACACATTACATCCTAAAATGTTGATCTACATTTTGAAGGGAAGGGGGATATTCCTTAAAGAAATGAGTAGGACTGTAAAATATATAGAGAATAAAGGAAAGGGGGAAAAAAAAAGGCAACTTTTGAAAGTGCATCTCTGAGAAAATGAGGTAATATTTGTGCAGCTCTGGAAAGCCTGAGCTCTGAAATCAAACCACCTGGGTCCATGTCCCATTCTTCACACTTTGTGGGTGGGAACTTGGACAAGTTATGTAATCTATGTCTCAGTTTCCTTATCTGTGTAAAGTAGAAAATATCACTCACCACACAACAGAATCATAATTTAGTTAAGAAAATTCTTGCCAAGCAAAGAACATAGTGCTTGTGAGAAAGTAAACAGTAAAACAAAGCTAAATTTCTAAAAATTCATGAGAATATATTTATCACACTTGAAAAATAAGAAAAGGGATCTGAAAAAAACAAAGACTTTAAAAATAGTCACAGGATAGAAAACTAAATATAGAAAGAATCAAATATCCAGCAGAAAGGATATTAAGGAGAGTAAGAAAGATTAAGATTATTTAGGGCTGCATTTTTTAAAGTAATGAAAAAATAAGAGATGTTACTTAAAATTTATCTGATCCAAGACAATTTTCTATGAAAAATGTAAATTCATGGAAAATGGGCAAAGAATCCCATTATTTTTGAAAGATCCAATTCAGAAACCCAGCTTCAATCACTCAAAGAGGGGCCCTTTTTCTCATTCCCAGAATTGCCTTCAACTAGCCAAGTATTTCAATCCTTATTCAAGTAAATAATCAAGCATTTCATGTCTGAATGCCTTTTCAAAAATAGTAGGAAGAAAAAAAAAGTACAGCCTATCTTCCAAGTATAAATTGAAATGAACAAAGTCACAGTTGCCTTTTCTAACAAAGAAGCCTTGAATTTGCACTGTAAGTTACAAATAATTATTTTTTAAATGGAATCATCAATAATAATAATAAACAACCTCTTTTGAATGCTTACTATATGCTGAACTTCAATGCATTTCAAGTTTCTGCAGGTAGATACTATTTTTAATCCAAATTAGCATATGATGAAACTGATGCTCAGAAAAATTAAGCCAGTGTTTTAGTCAGCAGCAGAGCATGGATTTGAACAAAGTTCTATCTGAGTAAAAGTTTGTTCTTTTAACAATGTTTTTATTGCAAAGCCTTTCCTGAAAAATAATTTGAACTGAGTCACTACATCATATAAAGCCAAGCATCCTAGATTTAAACCAGTTATTTAAGTTAGTATTCTTCAGTCATTTTTAGTTTTGGTTAAAAAAAAAAAAAGTAACATGAAATTTATTATCTTAACCATTAAGTGTAAAACTCAGTATTGTTATGTATATGTACACTGTTGTGAAACAGACCTCCAGAACTTTTTCATCTTACAAAACTGAAACTCCAGTACCCACTGAACAACCCCCCATTTCTCCCGGCCCCCAGCGGCTGAAACCACCATTCTACTTTCTGGTTTCTGATACCTCACTGAGGAGCAATGATATACCATTGTCTTTTGTGACTTGGTTATTTCACTTAGCATGATGTCCTTAAGGTTTATCCATGTTTGCCGTGTGACAGGATGTCCTTCTCTGTTAAGTCTGACTCACTGTCCATTGTTGTTACTGTTGCTCAGTCACTAGTTGTGTCCGACTCTCTGCAACCCCATGGGTGGAAGCACGCCAGGCTTCCCTGTCTTTCACCATCTCCCGGAGTTTGCTCAAACTCGTGTCCATTGAGTTGGTGATGCCATCCAACCATCTCATCCTGTCGCCTCCTTCTCATACCACATTTTGTCTGTCCATTTATCCAGTAACGGACATTTGGGTTGTTTCCACATCATGGTTATTATGGATAATGCCACAATAAGCTTACATATGCAAATAGTTCTTTGCTATCCTGCTTTCAAGTTTTTGCAATGTATACCCAGAGGTGGGATTGCTAGATGATGTGGTAATTATATTTTCAGTTTCTTGATGAAAACTCAGTACTGTTTTCCTAAGCTTCTAGATCATTTTACATTGCCACCAACAGTGCAACACAGGATTCCAATTTCTTTACATCTTTACCAACCCATGTTATTTCTGTTGTTCGGACAGTAGCCATCTTAATAGATGTAAAGTGATAACTCATGATGGTTTTGATTTGCATTTATCTAATGATTAGTGATTCTGAATATCTTTTCATATCCTTATTGGCTACTTTAAATATTCTTTGAATAAGCATCTATTCAATCCTTGCTCATTTTTCAATTAGTTTTTTGTTGTGTTGAGTTGTAGTAGTCCTTTATATATTCTGGATATTAACCTTTTTCAGATATATTATTTTCAATTATCTCTTCTATTTTATGGGTTTATTTTTCACTCTGTTGTTTGTTCTGATGCACAGAAGTTTTAAAATTTGACATAATCCTTCTCTCCTAACCCAGTTAGTAAAGAATCTGTCTGCAAGGCAGGAGACCCAGGTTCGATTCCTGGGTCTGGAAGACTCCTGGAGAAGGAAATGGCAACCCACTCCAGTATTCTTGACTGGAAAACCCCATGGACAGAGGAGCCTGTCTGGCTACAGTCCATAGGGTCACAAGAATTGGACACAATTTGGCAACTAAACCACCATAGTCTCCAAAATAGTATATTTTTACCCAAACCTCCATTTATCTATCTATCTATCTACTTACTTACCCAAACCTTTAGGAAAGTACACAACCAAATGTCATGAAAATCTAGATGATAGGAAGAATTTTTGGATAACTTACCTTTTTAAAAATAATTTTGAAGGAAAGAAAAAAGAAATCCCCTTTGTCATTCTCAGTTCTCATAGTCTAAACATCTCATCAAGCTGTATTTGATTTTCACGTTTAAAGAGGCATGGAATTTTTTTATACAACACAGACTCTAAATACAAGCCAATTACTTCATCTGTGCTGAAGTGAAGAAACAGTGACTTGATCCAACGTAGAAGGAAAACTTTCAGTGTTCTATATTATTGACAGACTGAATGTCAGCTCCTAATGTGGCACACAAATGCTGTATAATACATTTTATGTATTAATTTAATGACTTTTCAGGGTAACATTCACAAGATGTGATTTTAAATATTGATCTTATAACCTGTATAAGATTCAACTCCACTGTATTTTGTTTGTAATTTACACAGAATATAAGTGCTATAAAAGAGATCTAAAATATGAATTAAATTGTTAAAAATTATTTCTT